CGTGCTAGTCTCAAACACTTTCGCTGTAACACCTCGACTGCTAATGAATATCTAGTGTTAGCGGAGGACCTAATCTGTTTTCATGGCAGCGAGATATCAGGATGAGAAGACGGAAACCCTAAAATTCTTTTTAAGATACTAGCTATAGACATAATCTTGTTCATAAATATCCTCTTCCTTTACACATCCATACACCCATATTTACGCAATTTATTGACGCAGTTTATTTGGCCATAAATATTAATTTTCTGGAGAGAAGATGAAGCAGGCCTGATGAATCCTGACAATTCTCATTCGCTATCGTTTTAACATCAATTTCGAACTCCTGTGAATTCAATGCGAAGACTTTGGCGGGGACAATCACTTTCAGTGGCTTATTTATTTATAGGCTCCTGTTGATCAGTTGGCAGTCAAAGTGCATTGTCGTAAAGTAGTTGCCTCTGTGAAGGAATAGACCGCGTGATGATCCGCCTTGTTGTGAGGGTCGGTTTCAAACGACGCAATAGCTAGGAAATAATACCTGCCAAAACGGTGGATGCTCGCCGATGCTGCTCGTCGATGCAATTGTACAGACGATGATATTTGTGGTCCCGTTTGTTGCTGGTTACAATATAAGTGGAGAAAGTGAAGCAGTGAGTTTAGCTAGAAACATTTTTTCGGATTACCGGCAGCCAGAATCCGCGTAGATGGGCTCATTCCCACAGAAAGGCTTCGTTTCACAATCAAAGCAGCTTTTCCAAATATTGAACTGCGCTCGATGTCAAGCGCATGTAGCGTTGTGCAAGCTTTCCCACCACCGGTGATCCCCATGGGATCCAAACCCTGTAAAGGCCTTCCAACAACCCAGGATCTCTACAGTTCTTGAAAGGACTCGATATGAAACTGAAGAAATATGCTCACGTGCACGTGGATGCTCCCAAAGGAACTCAAGGATCTGTATCAAAAACTGCGTAGGTAGATTCAATTACTAATGCTGAATATTGTTCTTTATTCAACAAAGGATCTTCGCTTCTGGTCAAAATTCTGAGCTGGTCATTCCTTTGTCAAATTCGAAGGTTTTTTCCATGGTCCACAATTTGCCCCTCATTGAATTACTATAGAGCATTCGTGGCACTTAGGTCTGTGATCAAAATAGATTTGTTGTTGTTTTATTTTTTTAACTTTAACAAGTCTGCCTCGTAGGGGCCAACAAGCCTTCCATCCCTCCGGGGTCGGTTAATTGGTACCAGACTTGTCTGGGAGGATAAAAACACTGACTTGTACATCGGCTGGCCCCCGCAAGTCATTGTATAGGCCACATCGCATTCAAACGCCACTACGAATGTACAAATGGAAGTAGAATGCGTGCCGCATCCCAAAAAGGGATTGATCAACGGCAAATGCTTTATCCTTTTTCTTTAACAGGTCTGCCGTTAGGTAGGAAGATGTTATCAAAAGTCCAATGAAACCGACCTAAGGCTCAGAACTGCGAGCACTTTGCTTAAAACAGCAAACAAAAAGTGTTGGCACGAATGCTCCACTAAAGCTATTCTCAGCAGTTCTCCGCACAATACATTTTTACACCTTTCACGAGGCAATATGTCCTTCTTGCTCATTTTTCGACAAGAATTTTACGATTGACAACCACTTTGGAAGAGTCATCGAAGTCCAAACATTCTTCAGCTTTATGGGCGACACAGCCGGTTCGACTGGCACTCTGCCGATTGTTGATGATCAGCGGTGGGACTGGCATTCGTTGAGAGTTGTTATGAGTGGCATCCGACCAGCCGCAGGAATTCCAGCCCTTCTTCTCCAAGCATTCTCAGTGAAGCAGTGTCGAACGTTGCGTTGGAGAGGAATGCGTCTCGGCTGAATTCGAAATGATCCCTTAAAAAGTCAGTGAACCGAAAGAAATGCCGGACGATTTTAGTGCCGCAATGTTATTTCTGTCTGTTTACCGGCATAGACCAATTAATATCATTTTTTGGAAGTCCTTGTTTGAGAGTGTTTTGTCACATGTCGCAGGTCACGCATGAATACAGCGCCTCTATTTTGGGACAAGTTCCTAATCAACACCTTCATTGATCACATTGCATCTTATTTATGAGGTGCTGAAGTGTTTTTCCTGTTTGCGATCGCCGAAGTGACCTCGAATATTGTTCACTGACCACAAGTTGGACACAACAACATGACCCCTACCGTCCCAGTGGCAGCTTGCAGCCCCGCTGGGCGCCGGCCTTCTGTAACCTTTGAAGAGCCTCCTGTGTCCTTGGGCGCATTCTTTCAATATTTACTCTTGCTGCAAAGCTCCCACGTGGTAGCACGTCGTTCTATCACGTGAACAGCAGAGCGCTCCCCACAATTTGTGATCTCTGATTGCTTCGTGATTTGCCGGCATCACGCTGCTTTCGCAGATTTCAACTTCGACCAACTGCAGCCGGTCCCGAAAGTCATTTGATCGCTATTCACAGAGATCTGCGAAAGTTTCCTGTTCTGTAAGCGACTATCACACGGCTGTTCTATTTATATTCTGACACATTTGATTAGTATCCATTTGATGGAATTTGAGCTTCAATGATGTTATTCTGTTTATTCTATGGGCCAAAATTTGGAGGACAACAGTTGGAATGTTAGTTTTCTATTTTTGTCTTTTTGCTGGGTTTTTGGGGTGGTATAATCTCCTGTTTATTCTGCTCGGTCAATACTAATGGCATAGTATGATTTGAAGCGCTTATTGGTTAAGAAAGATCTGGCAATCAGAGATGCTGCAGTAGATTTGCAAAATTGAGGGAGATGGCAGCGCGCCCACGGTAACTGAGGGGAGGTGGCTGGGTTTAAGTGGGAGCGATTTCGATTTCAAGGCAGGCTCTTTCCCGAACTATTGTCTTCCGATGTTGAGTACTGACGATTTGCTGACCCCTTCGGACGGCGAACCTTCGTCAGGTAGCGTCGCGATCAACAAACTGCTGAGCCATCATTGTTACCTTGTAGAAGGGAATGGTTTCAATTTCGAAGGCAACACACGACATTTGTTCCCAGTTTCACTTCAACTCGCCATTGAAATTTTAAATTTCATCGTTGGTAAAAAGTTGAAAGCATTTTGGAGTTTTCTACAGAGGTAAATGTCCTTGGGTGGTGAGTTTTATTCTATCTGCTTGTTCTGGCTCAAACAAGATGGTTGATTGGTACTACGTTTGCCTTGAATAAGGAAGAAGCGCTATTTATTCAAGCTGGCGTATAGACCTACCTCCAAGAAATTCTAGGCTCCTGCATGCTCTATTTTCTTCCTCTCATGACCGAGAGAAATCTAGAGGATGTTGGGCTTGACCTAGCTTATGAATCTAGCACTTTCTCAGACTCACTATTTCAACTTTTCTCAGACTCTCCATGTGAATGAGCACTTCTGCCGCATCTACTACACTGGCAGAGCTTGAGGACGAGATATATGAAGTATCACAATATTCTGATAGCTTTGTGGACCGCTTAACAGTTCCTGTTAACTGCTTTTTTTAGTACCCTGTGGCAGCCCATTGTATGTGTGGTTAGGTTCCATAGAGTCATGTTACGCGCCAGTAACACGTCGTTGGAAAAGCTGCGTTCGTCCCTAAGTTTTGCACACCAGTGTATTATGCAGTAGCGTTTTTCGAGGAGGGCGAGTAGTATTTTTTGACGTTTATAAAACTCTCATTATAGATTAGCTAAGAGCTAGAACAGTATCGGTCAACTGATCCCATCCGAGTAGAAGGACCGGTTTGAAAGCTGACCCATCAAAATGTTAGGCACTGATCGTTATTAAGAAATTAATGAGCGACTTCAACAAAAAGAATTTGTCTTGGTAAATCTTACATTGTCCTTGGAAAAAATGTTGAGTTAATAAGAGTTGATTTTGCTGCGGTAACGTGCATCCTTTTTATACAAGTGCTTCACGGAATTCTGTCACTTGGAAGCCCTATGTATAGGAAAATCTCTAGTTTAGATCAAATTAAGTCCCTTCGCTCCGTACTTGCGGGGGGGGGGGGGGGGAGGGGAGGGGGGGTGGGGGGCGGCAGGGGCGGGGGGGGAGAGCCTGCGTTTGACTTTGCACTAGTTTGTTTGACTCTCTAATTATACGAGTTCAATACTAGTCCACCTTCTCAGCTAATCACCGATCAAACCACAATGAAATCAGTTGCCAAAGATGCGAGAATAGTGATATAGACATCGTCTCCGTGACAATCGCTGCTCCGAATGACTAAAGGCAGAAATGAATGCTAATGAATTACACATCATCTATACTGAATATGAGCTCATTTGTCGAATTTTGCGCTTAACTATTGTAGTAAGTACATTCGATATATGTCATGCTGACTTGCATCGGCGCGGGAACGCTCGTCGGCAGGTGAAGAGGCTCATCCCAAAAAATATTGAAAATCGCTATATGTGGTCATCGAATAGTTGACATCATCAATGGACTCGGCCAAAAAACCCTTCGCCTTGCCCGGTGGGGCTTGACTTACCACGTACTTCCAGGGAATGCCCAGCTTTCTCGAAACGGTTTTTTGCATGATATAGAGGTACGTGCATGGAACACAGAACTGTGGTTCATTTTTCCTGAGCGACCCTCTGAATACCAAAAAAGGAGCGAAGAAAAATTCTTAAGGAACTGCCGTTCTTAACTTTCTTCACCAGTTTTTTAGCCAAAGTCTACGTATAAAGGTTGCTGATGGTCCTAATTATAGATATGACATAAGTTGTTTACGCTGACGCTATTTTTCGCGAATTTTGAAACGCCAACACAAAATGCAAAAAATTGTCACTGCGAGGATTCGAACCACGGACCACTTCATCACCCCTTTTTTGGTATTCAGAGGGCCGCTCAGGAAAAATGAACTACAGTTCTGTGTTCCATGCACGTACCCCTATATCATGCAAAAAACCGTTTTGAGAAAGCTGGGCATTTCCTGAAAGACCTTCCTCGTAAGCGCTGGCGTCAGTGAACCCATACTTTGGAGCGAGGATCCTCTTGTCAAGAAAGCCGGGTTCAAGTCGACCTGCTCAGAGGGATAGAAAGTCTAGACAGAACGGATTAGTGCAAGGCTATGGACAATGCGACTGCACTTGAAAGAAAAGGGCGCTAAACACTAGAACATTGAAGCTGCCTGGTGATATGTTCTAGAACACCAATTACCTGATTGTGGCACTGGATGAAACAAATTGTTGTTGTTAGTTTCTTAGCAGGTGTTATTATCCACTATAAATCGCTTAGCCTAGGATAATTCTCACAAACACTCTTACCATTGACGCACCAATGTTGAATAAATCCATTCACAAACAAAAAAAGTGGACTTGGTAGAGAGGACGTTCTCTGGTACAGAGATATGGATATCATCGAATCCCACGTGAAATCCTGGTTTCCGATTTAATATTGCTGCTAATGTGATTCTGTTGGAGTTAAGCGAGTATAGTAAATGACGTGAGGTAAGTAGGAGCTGCAATCAACAGGATGACGCCATGGTACATGCAGCTGCAGTAATTGCAGGAGGCAGAAACTCTTGTACTAATCTCTTTGAAGTACGGTGAAAAGTTCGCTATCAGAACCAGACTACCTTCGATCAATTTTACTTGAAGAATTTATACTTACTCGCTTTCGCTCATACTTTGAGCGCATGAGCTCAACAAGTTCTACAACAAACCAGAAAAAGTAACGATAGCCTTCAATTCCGACCCCAATTTCAATTTCCCATTTTGCCCATAGAACTTAAGATGATGGTTATGAGCTTAGCCTTTCAGATGACAGGAATTAGCTTAGCCTTTTAGCCCTGAGCTTGCCTTACACCTGACACCAGACACAGTGTCGAAGGCTTCTGTAGAAGTATTCGTGGGTGAATTCACAGGAAGCCTTAGTTGATGACATTGACTGTACCCGCTAAATGATCAGAATAATTTTAGCGGGAGCCTCGAGATGAGCCGAAAAAGATTTTTCTTCTGTTCCGTAAAATATTGAAGTAGTATGTACAGCAGAACTAGAAGAGTTCACGGCGCAGTCCCTAAATCCACCAGTTACAGCTGCTTGTAGCGTCCACCTAATAAACGGATGCAAGTACAGGATCAGCAAGTACGTAGATACGAACTCCTACTATGCAAATCCTCTATCACCCAAGGACTATTTCTCTATTTAGGGTTATTTTTGTGCCAGCGGAGAGAAACACGCTGTGTATTTTTGTCGCTTTTCTACCGCCACTACGGAGCATTGGCCTTAATAGCCTAACTGAGAGATCACGTTCACCCATCTGTCATCCGACTAAATCGTAACGACTTGATTTTTGGCACAGCATTCGCGTTCCCAAGACAATTTCTCTGGGAAAAGTTTCATCCTGCGACCGTTTTGTTAGTTGAGTCTCCGGCTGAGAAAGAGGATCTAGCAAGAATTTCATGGGAATGACAGAGCTCTGTGATGAAAAGCAGTTGTAGCAGAAGGAATTGCAAAGCGCTGCGTAAACTCGAGCTCTACGAAAAGTTGTAGTCATCACTCGTGTATTGGGAAAAATGATGCTCCTGTAGTGGCAGAAAATTTACGCAGGTGTCCATCCGGAAAATATTAAAAATACTAAACAGCATAAAGTGAGCCGACCTGAAGCATTTGTAGTTTGGCACTCCGGAGAGGTTTCATTGACTGAGGTGTCATTGAAAACCAATAGTAGTTTCAAAGGCATTAAGGCTCTAAACTTGGGTTGTGAACAAATAATAGATTTTTATTATAGATTTTTCTTCATTTGAAACCGTTCCACCGTACTCGCATCGTATTATGTGGAATGCCGTCGAATCACAAATCGATCCTGCGTATAGTGCTCGACGCAGTCCTTGACGAGTTGTTCGGTAAAAGCCCTCGACTAGGTAGTCTGTAGTGGCCTTTGTTTCGTTGCGTTGCTTCAGCGAACTTGTGCGAACTGCAAGGGGAAACGTGTCCAATTAACTCCAAAAGGAACTCGTTCAGACCGCTCGACACTGCATTCGAATGTGTTTGTTGATGATTCGATTCCCTCTTTGTTTCAGTTTGCTCTCCCCTGAGTGAAAGCAGATGGCACCTGACCGGGTGAGCCAACGATGGCGACTGCAAGGCTAACAGCAAGGAGATATTATTGAGGTATCGCATTGCCCAGACGGAATTTTGCTGCTGATGCAGAAAATAGCACTCTTCACGGAAATGAACACATCTTGTTGTTACCGAGAAATTCTCTGCGCGCTGCATAATTTGTGACTGAAATAGATTGGGATGTTGTAAATAGAGGGCCACTTGCGTCATTCTTGAGAAAGCGTGACCAATTAGGGTTGGTCCTTTTTGTTTAGGAAACCAGCCAAGAACCAGCTCTGACGCCATGGCGGATGCTTGGTCTTCTATGACAGACCATGAATTAAAATACACCAAATCATCCCAACTCCCCCCAAACAAGCGTTGAGACAAGTGATATCCACGGCCTAAAAGCACCATACAGCGTCAATAGTTTCCCTGCACATTCGGAGCCACAACGCTGCTGAAAACCAGAACCTTTCTATAGAGAGGCTCCTTGTAGGTCAGTGTGATTTAACAAGAGCCTTACCAGAGAGAGCTCTAATAAACAACCCAAAGTGTTTTGTACTGCCCTCTGCATCTGTTGTAAGGGTGCCCGAAAAAATGATAGGATCGCCTTTTTTCGTATGTACCACTTGTATCTACACGCACTTTGAACCATACATTAAAATACCCTTAAGAGGGCAGTTCTCCATAATAATAATTAATAATAATAATAATAATAATAATAATAATAATAATAATAATAATAATAATAATAATAATAATAATAATAATAATAATAATAATAATAATAATAATAATAATAATAATAATAATAATAATAATAATAATAATAATAATAATAATAATAATAATAATAATAATAATAATAATAATAATAATAATAATAATAATAATAATAATAATAATAATAATAATAATAATAATAATAATAATAATAATAATAATAATAATAATAATAATAATAATAAATAATAATAATAATAATAATAATAATAATAATAATAATAATAATAATAATAATAATAATAATAATAATAATAATAATAATAATAATAATAATAATACTCAATAATGGTAATAATAAATAAGGATAGTAGGAATAAATAATAAAATAACAACAGTTATCACAAGAATGCTGAGTTGTGGGCAAAACTTAACGTTTATAACTAAGTTAACGGCGGCAACGTTATACGTGTGAATGCTGATAAGCTATGGTACGTTCACCATGAAAGCTGAGTTGGGTGAAATGGTGCCCCGGTAGCGTAACTGGTAGCGCACTTGCCCGGAAAGCAAGAGGTGCGGGTTCGAATCCCGCTGGGGCGAAAGTTTTGCCCACAACTCAGCATTCTTGTGATAACTTTCGCAACGCGAACTGCGGCGTAAAACAGCAGTTATCCAATAAAAACAAGTCAAATAATATTATAATAATGTTAATGTATATATTCAGACCTGTCCTCGTTGTTTACTTTAATTTTCGCTGTAAAATGGGTTCCACCGTTTACGCGGAAATCCCGCTACTACACAGAGACGTTACCTGGTATGAAATCATAATAAATAAAAAAATATTAGTAGTAATAATCACTAATAATAATCATGAAATAATAGTAATACTCAGTAATAATTGACTCTGATTATATCAGGGTAATGAGCAATAAACGTTAGCTTTCCATAAGAAAAGAAAAACCATTATAAACAAAATAATAGATACGTTGTTTCGCTCTTCTCAGACGAACTTATATTTCGTCCATCCCGCGGAGCTGCAAAGTGCCGCTTTCTTCCGTTCTACCGATTAGTTTCTTTCCAAATTTTTGGCGCTCTCCACGGCAGTTTCGCTTCTTTCTTTAGCACACAACAAGAAACATTGAAAGCTTTCCACTGACTTAAACAGACCTTCCTGCTCGCAATTCGGTTCCAATGGATGAGTTTAACAATACCGCGGCTAACCCTGTCTTGGAATATACAGGGTGGGCAAAAATTACGGTAACAGGATAAAGTGTTCATGGAAGAGCAATTCGGCCAGCAAGACACACGTGGACCCCAACAATGTATTCATAGGAGGTCACCAGACAGAATACAACATCACTTCTTGGACTGGCCGCTGTTTGCGTTTATACCTGAATGAAGTCATCTCGGGAACGCATATGGCCTGTTGTGTAGGTAGGTGACATCGAGCTTACCCTAGGATCTTCTTTAATTCGTCGATGCTTTAGTGATACTCGTAGTAGCCCATCGTCTTCAGTAGACTCCACGGAAAATAACCCACTTGCTTTAACACGGGAAAATAAGGTGGCCCCTCGTTCAATGGCATGAATTCGGAAAATTCTGCAAAACCAATGTTGCACAATATTTGCTTTGTGCACAAGCGGTCTACCTTGCTGTTGTGTCTAGTGATTTCTCTCCGGGGTCTCTTCAACCAGGTGCATTTATTAGGTTCGAAGGAAATCGAGATGTTTGGTTAGCGCTCTTGTTACCGTAATTTTTGCCCACCCTGTATACACCCTTCTTCGCGGATGCGAACATATAGCTCAAGTTATCCTTGATCTCGCACATGAAGCAGTCCGGTTCCGGCATCAATGAGGATACAGAGAAGATAAAGGCGTCGGTGCAATAAGCTATAGAAAGGTCGACGGCAAGATAAGGATTTAAAACGAAAGGCGCCTACCGCGGGGAACTTAGTACCACCTACGCTCAAAGGACATCTGATGAGTGTTAACACCGAAGGGTTTTGGATTGACCGTGACTCTAGCTTTGCTAATTCATGACTGAAGAAATCACTTCTCTAGTGCCATTTCGAATGCTTTGTGATGGCTATCAAGAGGAACTGTTGAAATTTGGTTCATACCCCTGAATGCACTACAGTGAAGGCATATCACGACCTCACACGATGATTTGCATGCGCTTTAGCGCTCGGTGAAATGATTCAAAAAAAGGGATGACATGGGCTACTGAAGGAAAAGATGTTGACGGGTGCTCAAAGTTGCAGAAAAACAATCCAGTGATAATGCACCAACTGTATGTAGTTCACAAGAAGGTCAGGAGATGTTTTTTTTTGAATCTCGAAAAATGGTAAAAACTGCACTTGTCGGTGAAGCTGATACAGTATGCGACTAGGTCGAGTAGCACGCTCCGTTCTTCGATTATTACTGAGTGAGAAATGTGCAGCCTAAACAAGAAGTGACATGATGTACTGAGAATCGGGAGGCAAAATGACAGGGATCACATATGGTGAACTCAAGATTGTCACAGAATGCTCTTCAACTACAGAGGCGCAAAAATTAGTTTCTTGACTTTAAAGAGGAGTAGCATGAGTGAACATCCATGCAGGTGAACTATTTTCGTAAGGCATTTCTTTTAGCAATGGGCTGGTCATGTTGCAGAGCGTTTCTCCCATTTCCCACATTGACAATTTCATGATTTTCCGATAGCTTCGTTGACGTACGAAGGACACCGCTTACAATTCTATGTAAACGACCCCCGCAGACGTAAACGTGGTCAAGAATTGCATTCACGTATTCCCCGAGGGAGCGATTGTCCAACGAACGTCGGCGCTTTAGGCGATGGAGTCCTTTTGGTAGTACACGGGTTCGACTTCGATGAATCTTGGTATCGTGTGTGGTCCTCTTGGATATGCTTCTGAAGCCACAAGTTTTTTCGGCTAACGCTTCGGCTTTGTCGCCTTCGTCAGAGCCTGTAAAGTCAAAGATCAGTGCGACCTACCGCAGACATCATTTACAACTTCGAACTAGTCCCCGTAGATCAGTAGCATCCAGGGGGGCCATAAATCATAAATACCAGCTAACTCACCTTAGAACGAACGGTAGGATGTTGCTAAGAGTGGGGTTCTTTTTTTCAGATGTTTGCCGGAGAAGGGGATCTGCAACTGTAATGCAGGGGAAACTCAAAACGATGCGTAATAAGCCTTCCGCTTGATTACCGACCCACGTAAAGGAAGTGTGCGTGCCTCATAGACATACGAAATCGCTCCTTCTGCAATGACAAAACCAAGACTAAGGATGTGACCAAACGCGAGCCCGAATCCATGCTTTGCAGAGGAGAAGGCCGGTTTTCACCCAGCAAACAATTTTTCAGAAAGACTTGATCAAGTTCAGAGAACTTAGGCCCTAGCCTTTTGTGGTGACATAAAGGTATGTTTCTAAACGAATGATGATAAAAGAAGGCTCTTTCTCGGGAAGAAACATTGTAAACAATGCAAAAGATTGAGGGGAATCCCAGGATTCAAGGCCTAAATAGTCGAGCAAGGTAGCATCCCGTCATCTTCGCTGGTTCTCCTGACACCTCGCAAATTCTTTAGCTCACTGAATGATAAGGTCTATTGATGCCTATCATCGAAACCCCCATTCTTTGTCTAGCTGGATTCCTTTCATTCATATACCTGGGTTCGAACAATTGCATCTGAGTCATGGAAACCGTCATTGGAATTCGGCGTATTCAGAGTATGAGCTCGGAGCACCTAAGCGGAGCAAAGTGCTGCCGCATCATAGGCCATTGGTGTCTATTATCATACCTATACTCTTTGTTCGCTGGAGTCCTTTCATTCACATGGTTCAAAACAAGTTGGATCTGAGTCACGGTAACCGTCATTGGAATTTGGCGAATTCTAAGTATGGAGTCGGACGACCTCTCGCAGACGCTACCAGATCTTCGGTTCCAATTTCAAGAGCTTAACGGAAGACAAGCGGAGCAAAGTGCTGTTGCAAAAACAAAGCAATAATGAAAACCGTATAACAACGATCCAGCCGGTCGGAGAACAAAGCAATTACGCTCACGTCATCGAATACATTCGCATAATTGCACAGTCTAGTGTTTAGTGGTGAATGTAGTTGTTTTTCCACCTTTGCAAAGGGCGTAATTCCAGGTTGTTTCAGTGCTGTTGTCAGACACCTACACGTTCTTTTTTGAAACTTTTGATTGAGGCTAAGAGAGTTCATGTCTAGATCAGCAACCAAAAGCAGGCTACGCCACTATATCTAAG